TCAAATAGGAAGATAGGAAGTCAAATTGTCTGTTTGCAGATGACATGATTGTATATTTATAAAACCCCATTGTCTCAGCCCCAAAACTCCTTAAGCTGATAAGCAACTTCAGCAAAATCTCAGGATACAAAATCAATGTGCAAAAATCACAAGCGCTCCCATACACCAATAACAGAGAGCCAAATCATGAGTGAACTCCCATTCACAACTGATACAAAGAGAATGAAATACCTAAGAATCCAACTTACAAGGGATGTGAAGGACCTCTTCAAGGAGAACTACAAACCACTGCTCAAGTAAATAAGAGAGGATACAAACAAATGCAAAAACAGTCCATGCTCATGGATAGGAAGAATCAATATTGTGAAAATGGCCATACTGCCCAAAGTAATTTATAGATTCAATGCTATCCCCATCAAGCTACCACTGACTTTCTTCAAAGAATTAGATAAAGCTATTTTAAATTTCATATGGAACCAAAAAAGAGCCCATATAGCCAAGACAATCCTAAGCAAAAAGAACAAAGCTGGAGAGGCATCACACTACCTGACTTCAAACTATACTACAAGGCTACAGTAACCAAAACAGCATGGTACTGGTACCAAAACAGATATGTAGACTAATGGAACAGAACAGAGGCCTCAGAAATAATGCCCCACATCTGCAACCATCTGATTTTTGACAAACCTGACAAAAACAAGAAATGATTCCCTATTTAATAAATGGTATTGGGAAAACTAGCTAGCCATATACAGAAAACTGAAACTGGGCCCCTACCTGACACCTTACACAAAAATTAAATCAAGATGGATTAAAGACTTAAACATAAGACCTAATACCATAAAAACCCTAACCTAGGCAATACCCTTAAGGACATAGGCCTGGGCAAACACTTCATGACTAAAACACCAAAAGCAATGACAACAAAAGCCAAAACTGACAAATGGGATCTAATTAAACTAAAGCGCTTCTGCACAGCAAAAGACTATCATCAGAGTGAACAGGCAACCTACAGAATGGGAGAAAATGTTTACAATCTATCCATCTGACAAAGGGCTGACATCCAGAATCTACAAGGAACTTAAACAAATTTACAACAACAACAACAAAAAACCATCAAAAAGGGGGCAAAGGATATGAACAGACATTTCTCAAAAGAAGACATTTATGTGGCCAACAACCATATGAAAAAGAGCTCATCAACGGTCATTAGAGAAATGCAAATCAAAACTACAATGAGATACCATCAAAGGAGACAAAGAAGGGCATTACATAATGTTAAAGGGATCAATGCAACAAGAAGAGCTAACTATCCTAAATATATATGCACCCAATACAGGAGCACCCAGATTCATAAAGCAAGATCTCATCTCACGCCAGCTAGATTTGCGATCATTAAAAAGTCATGAAACAATAGATGCTGGAGAGGATATGGAGAAATAGGAACACTTTTACATTGTTGATGGGAGTGTAAATTAGTTCAATCATTGTGGAAGACAGTGTGGCAATTCCTCAAGGATCTAGAACCAGAAACACCATTTGACCCAGTAATCCCATTACTGGGTATACACCCAAAGGATTATAAATCATTCTACTATAAAGACACATGCACACGTATGTTTATTACAGCACTATTCACAATAGCAAAGATTTGGAACCAACCCAAATGTCCATCAATGATAGATTGGATAAAGAAAATGTGGCACATATACACCATGGAATACTATGCAGTCATAAAAAAGGATGAGTTCATATCCTTTGCACCAACATGGATGAAGCTGGAAACCATCATTCTCAGCAAACTAACACAGGAACAGAAAACCGAACACCGCATGTTCTCGCTCATAAGTGAGAGTTGAACAATGAGAACATATGGACACAGGGAGGGAAACATCACACACTGGGGCCTACTGGGGGTTAGGGGGCTAGGGGAAGGATAGCATTAGGAGAAATAACTAATGTAGATGGCTGGTTGATGGGTGCAGCAAACCACCGTGGCACATGTATACCTATGCAACAAACCTGCACATTCTGCACATGTATCCCAGAACTTAAAGTACAATAATAAAGAAAATATGGTTGTACATACACACAAATGCAATGGAATATTTTAAAAAATAATAAAAAAGAAGAAGAAATGTGCCAAGTCCAGATTCTGATTCTCCTCCCACGGAACGTATTATAAAGACACACTGCAAGCAATCACAGTGCTCTGCCAACTTTCTGAGTTTCTCTAAAACCTGGTCTTGAAAAAGACTGCCAAAAACTTTGTGATCCACAGCCCAATTATTTCCTGAGCCAGAAATATCAGTGATGAGTTGTTTGGTATCAAATACATCTCTCACTGGTCCCTGAAGAATTTCACTCACTATCCCTTCTTCCATGCCAATCAAGATGGCTGGTATCCACAGTTCTAAAGAAGCTGCTTATTGCCTCATAATAAATTCCTTTCTGGCTGACCGCAGCATGCTCCCTTAGCACCAGGTCCCAGAAGCAGCAGCTGATCTGGTTTTCGCATTGGCCAACCAACATGACCACCAACTGGGTTATGCTGGTGCACAGCCAGCTGGGGGCGCTTGTGAGCCACACCGGCCTCTGCATTCTGCCTGCAACCCAAAAGGCCTGTATTGTTCATTGTTGTTGTTGCTGTTGTTGTTTGAGACTGAGTCTTGCTCTGTCACCCAGGGTGGAGTGCAGTGGCACGATCTCAGCTCACTGCAACCTCCACCTCCCGGGTTCAAGCAATTCTCCTGTCTCAGCCTCCCCAGTAGCTGAGATTACAGGCGCCCATCACCATGCCTGGCTAGTTCTTGTATTTTTAGTAGAGATGGAGTTTCTCCATGTTGGCCAGGCTGGTATCGAACTCCTCACCTCAGGTGATCCACCTGCCTCAGCCTCCCAAAGTGCTGGGATTATAGGCGTCAGCCACCGCGCCCAGCCAAAAAAAGGCCTGTTTTTTTTATGAGTACTGCTGCATATCCACTGTTGAGAACCAATTCCTCAAACCACCTCTGTTTTATTTGTAAGTGAATAAAGGTTTGTTTCTCTTTTGCATATATTTCTTATGGTTGGCGTATATGAGGTAAAAGGACAATTCTCCAAGTGCCCATGGAGCAAGAACCATGTCTAATTCTCTGTTCTTTGTAATACTCTGTACTGTTGCAGATATTTTCAATAACAATGCAAATATTCCACCACTTAATTACCCCATCAATAAAACAGACAGACACAAAAAAACTTGATTATTCAGGGTTTTATGCCACAAAAAGAAGGCTGTCTATTTTGCCACAAATAAATGCAGAAAAGAAACAGCATTACTTAAACAAACTCAGGCTCCTGTTAGATGGAAAGGCTTGCTTACCAGGTTCATTTCCTGAGTCAATTCAGAAAGGATTATTACTCCTATTACGCAGTGTTCCACAGTACCCTTTGGAGAAAATAGCAAAGTTTAGTCTAAGTGGAGACAAATGATTAGTTCTTAATGTGTGCACCAAGTAATATTTACAAATAATTAAAGACTAAAACACCACATTTACTTAATCACAAAATTGAAATAAAATTTTAACATATAAAGAAAAATCACTATGATTTCTATAAAGAAAATAATTTCAAACCTATTTTTTGAAGGATAAATTTAGGTACACAGAGCTAAATGGGAAAAAGCTCCTACCTTATAAATGCAAGATACTCAACAAAATGGTTCCAGCACTTAGGACAAACAATAAACTAAGTTTCAAAATACAAGAATTTAGCTTAATACTTTTTACAAGACCAAGATTAAAAATAAGCAATAAATGCTTTTAGCTGTATAATTTGCTTAAAGCCTACTGAGATAGAGGCACTCAATAAATAAATAATAAATAGCTCAATAACTAATTCAAATCTCTTGTTCTAACATCAGATAGGATCACTTAGGCTCTTTTAACATTAATTGTGCATGTGTATGCAATTGTTACATACCTATAATGATGGCATGTAAAGTACACAATGCAATGGGATAAATACATGACTACACAATGTTTTTAATTTAATCAGCTTCCAATTTAACCTCACATTTTCCACCATTAAAATTCAGACTTTATATGCACATTACTAACAAACTACCCTTGTGTGAAATCATACTGGAATTATGAAAATCATAAATGTGGCATCCAATTACATTGCAATCATTTTTAAAAACTGACACAGATGATAGATACACTTTTCAAATCTTAATTTTATAGTTGGTCATCCCTTTTAACTATCACAGAAGTCCATTATCACTGGATGTAATTAAATTCAAATTACCTCAGAACAAAAAAAAGTCCCACAATTTTTGCATTTTAATTATTTATGGCCTTTCAGGACAGTCTGAGTATCTGAACTGAGCTCCAGATTTCCTACACACTGAAACATCCATCCTATGTGTATACCAGGTTCGTGTTCCCCAAAGTGTGGTAACCTGACCAATTGCTAAAACCAGCTGACCGATGATCTACAAACTCAATTCTAATCTGAAAATAGTTACTGGTCTGTGACACAATAAAGAGCATGTAACAGACTATAAAACAGCTAAGTCACAAAGTACACTGTTTAGGTTAGCTGGCTTTTTTTTTCATAGCAAGTCTTTCTCAATGAAGAAGGCACTATGTTCATTCACAGTCTTACATAAGCTCCTTATCTTGCTGAAGACCAGTAATTTGAATAGCATTGCCCTAGATGACAGTAGGATCTCCTGAGTATATAAGTAGAAAGGAGACACATAAGTATGTTTGGAGTGTGGCAGCAAGAGGGCTGTAATAATAGAAAAAAGAGAACGCACAAAAGTTCAGGCTGTTAAAAATGTGACAAACTTAAAATAATTTTTAGGACAAAATTCAAAAAAGCTACTAATACCCAAAGGAACCATACAGTAATATTCTAGAATACTAAAACACTAAAGCCAAAATTGACTTTCTCATGATGCAGGGTCAGGGTTAGGTCAAGAAAGATATATATATATCTCCGGAGATAGAGATATATATATCTAGAAAACAAGTACTAATTATTCTGTGGTGATACTATTATATAATAAACTTTCAAGCTAAAACATCTTGCTTCTTTTGGTCTTCCAGAACTGGCAAAAGTACATTGAATCCCAACTTAAGCTGAGCTTACTGGCCACTAAAGAGGGAGTTTGAGATATGTTAGCCAACAAGAATTTCATTCAGTTTCAATCTTGATTTTATTTTAAAAGAACTGCATGGTCGCTTCTTGTCTACTCAAGTAAGTTTTGATGAACAATCTTAGTAAAAGACAAAAGGGGGATGCTACTGTGCTTGCCAAAATTAGAAATGCAACTCTGAAGTGTGAAGTTCATACTTGTCCTGAATAAACTACCCTTCTGTCCTAGTATAAACTGACCTCCTCAGAGCTAGGAACACTTATTCCTGTAAAGTTCTAAACGATCAAATATTTGTTAACCAGGTTTTAACAACATGGATAAGACAGAAGCAGCATAACCTAGCATTTCATATTCTGAGGTTTCCAGCATTGCACTATATGATGAATTTATTTCTTACACAGGGGTTGAATTTTAAAGTTACTGCATAAAAGTAAAATCTCTGAAAGTCAAAATTGCCCATACTCAACCATGAACCAAAACTGAACCATCTCTCTATTAATCAAAACTGTCAATTTTTCCTCAAGAATACTAACAGATCATGTTGCTTGTTTTTTGTTTTTTTTTTTTTTTGAGACGGAATCTCACTTTGTCGCCCAGGTTGGAGTGCAGTGGTGCAATCTCCGCTCACTGCAAACTCCACCTACTGGGTTCACGCTGTTCTCCTGCCTCAGCCTCCCAAGTAGCTGGGACTACAGGCACCTGCCACCACGCCCAGCTAATTTTTTGTGTTTTTAGTAGAGACAGGATTTCACCATGTTAGCCAGGATGGTCTCGATCTCCTGACCTCGTGGTCCACCCGCCTCGGCCTCCCAAAGTGCTGGGATTATAGATGTGAGCCACCATGCCCAGCCCAGGTCATTTCTTTAGCTGGACATCAGATAAAATAGTTTTCTTCTACTTGGGAATTACGTTTGTATGAAAAAATATATACATATATCTTCAAATATCTGAATCATACTGAGCAAGGCATGACACTTACCCTAAGTAAGAGTAAACAGGAAACAAGAGCAGATTCAGGTTTCCCTAAATCATCTCAGGACATGGAATCACTGGCATAATTTAGTTTAATGCTTTCCTACCTTTATTTCTTTTTTCTTTTTTTTTTTTTGGCAGTCCGGAATATATCTGAATTTATGCAAGTTAAATGTGCATATGCTATGACTTTATTTTAATCACTTAGGTTAAAAATACTGTTTTTAAAATAACCATTCTTTATTGATATATAATAGCTGTACCTATTTGATACCTATACACAACATGTAATGATCAAATTGAAAACATTCTTGAGAAACTAATATAGTCAATGTGGTATAGGGTAAAAATTTTAAAATGTATCATAAGTTGGAGGCTTGTTAAAAGTGCTAGCTGTATGCTTTAATCAGTCACCACCATGCAATCTTACAGAAATTTAACCCCTCTTAGCCTGTTTTCTTATTTACAAAATAAAATCCATTTCATTTTAGGTTGTGACGAACATTTAATTACATAATCTATGAAAAGCATTATGTACATATTTTATATATATACAGTACATAGACATACATGTCATAAACGAACATACATTTTGGAATTAGAAAACATGATTATTTACATTCTTCTGGTTTGGAAATTGTGTAACAGCAGGACCCTCATTTACTGACAATAAATGATAAAGGATCCAGAGGATAAATAATAAATCTTAATTAACATGGTACTAGTAGTCACAAAACAAACCATATGGCTTTAAGCAGAGCAGTATTCTAAACCAAAAAAGCAAGTAGTGATGTTCTAACAATGTAGCAACGACTTCTTACCTGGAGAAACTTCTTCACATCAGCAATAATTTCTCTGAAGACAAATTGCTCTTTCTGAACCTCAAACCACCCCAACTTAGTGATTTTAGCAATGACTTGAATAAGAGCTTGGATGACAAAGGGGGCCAGCTTGGGTTGTGATGCCACATAATTCAGAATGTAGTTTCCTACAAAGAAAACACTCCATGATCATTTGGACTTTTCAGAAACAACATAATGTGAATCATATGAAGAAAGAGAGGTGGGGATGGGGGGAACGGGAGGGAGAACATGAAGACAAATACCTAATACATGCAGGGCTTAAAACCTAGGTGACAGGTTGATAGGTACAGCAAAACACCATGGCACATATATACCTATGTAACAAACCTCCATGTTCAGCAAATGTATCCCAGAACTTAAAGTAAAAAAACAAAAACAAAACAAAACAACAACAACAAAAAAGAATTTTGTCAACTTTAAACAAAAAAGTTGCAGTATTTGTGGGGAAAAAAAAAAAAACAGAAAAAGAGGTGGCAATGACATGCTGTGACAAAAAGTTAATAGCTCTACTCAAGATACATATTTATTTATATAGTTATTTTATTAGGCTTGTTTTGGAAAAGCAAATTTGTTCCAATGCATTTGATATATTAGGGAAAAACCTGAATAGAACACTTTTGTTATATACG